TAATTAATACGAAGAGCCCACCCACAGTTTTTGAAAATTGTTCATATTTCCCAGGTTTTATGCTGATTTTGACGAGGTAGCAGCGTGTTCCTAAATGCTCTTTGCACAGGAACAACGCTGAGGGTCGGGTTTGCCGAGTGCAGTGTTTCATCAGTGTAGCTCCACTGAAAGAGTGTTTTCAGTCTGTGCTGCAAAATGAGTCAGCATAAGCTGGCCTCAGCTCAGACATCTTTATTTCCACAGCAAGTTGAAGACAATCCCTTGGAGAGAGGCATGAGAGATGCTGGAACAAGCAAAATTCATGACAGCTGTCTGTCTGGAGATTTCCCCAGTTAGTAGCCACACCTGGACCATCATATTCTGCAGAGGCCAGTGACCATGCCCTCTGTTACTTCATTTAATCTCCTTTTGTACCAAGACCTTTGGTCTCTGCAGCATCCTGTGGCAGTGTCTCCTGAGGTTCAAGCATGCAAAAGGATTCTTTCTTTATATTTGTTGCCTGATAATTTTACCAGGAATGCACTGATTCTGGCAATATTACAAGAGTGATTCAAGACTTCCTGTTCACCTTCAGCATTTTATGTTTATGCTTCCCATACCAGTGGATCCTCTCCCAGATTGAAATGTCTTGGTCTCTGTAGGCACTCTAGTGCTCTACAAAGTTTTTTTCCCTGATGTCTCACAAATAATCATTTTTCCATTCCATCCTTACGACTGACTGCCACACCTGGGGTGACCACTGCAGCAGCTGATGAAGCAATAGTCACCAATCTTCCTTTTGTCAGATCCTCCCACACAGGCAATCTCTTTTGCCTTTCTTCCCTGTCCTTTTCCCAGTGCCTGCTTGCCCTCTCCACTTGGAGCCTTGTTAAGACTGCAGGCTGTGTTCCCTGACCAGAACAGATGAGAAAGGGAACACTGTGAATGTTGACGGGATGTAGAGGTTCACGATTACCAGTGTCAGCTCACAGGCTGTACAAACAAACTGTTTGTGGCCTATTTCTCACTCAAGATACTTTTAGGCTTAATAAAAGAAACTCTCAAATTTAGTAATGAATTATATATGCCATGTACATGCTATTATGTCTGAATTATCCATACATTAATTAATAATCTATGTATGTCAGACATGCCAACCCAAGTTAGGAAGACATTATGTGAAGGTGTGTGGTCTGAGCCTGTGAGCAGAGTAATTTATCTCTCCTCCAGTTCTGCTGCCTCACAGGAGACAAGAGCATCATCACAGGAGTACCTCTGGTCCTTTTGAGTTCAGGTCTCAGAGCAAAATTTGGGAAAGTTGGAAAACAAATGGAAAGAAACAGAATAAAATATTTACTATTGTCTCTGCACAAAGTGCTGAATTTTATGCAGCTTTTCCTGGAACAATTCAGATCAATTAAAACACTTCTTGACAAAGTGGAGACGCAATGTTCTTCGTCAAAAGAATAGCGGCCTGGTCGATCAGTCAAAATTCTAGCTTGGACAAAAACATTTTTCCATTCAAGGCTGAATTACCATACTGCTGTCAGTAGGGTTAGTGTTCCTCTGCCAGGCTTAAAATTTCTGAAGCTTTTTAGGCAGTATTTGTGTGAAGAAGTGCTGGAGCACCATCACCGAGAAATTTTTCATGGGGCAGGGGAGGGTTTCCACATACAGCACTTCAGAACAGTGAGGCTGACCAGGAGATCTGATCCCTAGGATGGCTGCAAGGAAACCCATAACCGCAGCACCAGTGTTTTTCCACCCCTCTTTGCTCCCTCTCAGCAGCTACCATGAATAACAAGCAGGAAAAACAGAGGCAGGTTTTGAAGAGAAATGAGGGCAGCGGTGGGGGGGAGCGGGGCGGGCCCGGCTTATGCAAGAGAGGGTATAAAAGGGGGAGCCGAGTACCCCTCCAAAATCGGAGAGTGGGGCAAAAGGAGAGCACACACCTCACCGCTGAAGAACAGGTTTGAGAGGTCTGTGTTTCTTTGTACCTTTACTGTGGCTGCTGCAGGGAGAGGTTCATTAGAAAACGTGTGTGGGCCACAGGCTTGTTTCGGATAGGGGATGCTTGTAGAACAGCCTTGCTTTCACCCTCTTGGGTTCCTTGTTGCCAGAAAGCTTTTTGCCCAAATTTGGCCCAGTGCAAGTTCTCTGGCACAGCTCTCTTTAAGAGGCAGAATCCTTGGACACTGGAGCTGAAGGGCGGGATAGAGACTCTGCTTTCTAAAGTCGAAGCTCTATCTTTAAGCACACTCTCATTCCTAAAACCATGGCAACCCAACAAAAAAAGCCTGACAACAGAGTCCACATATAGTAATTGGAATGATGCTCATGCTCTCCTGCTTAAAAATGTCTCTGAAGTAAAATGAAAGGCTAATTGTCTTTAAGTTCTACTAGGATAAAATATGTTGCAGGTGTGGCAGGATTTGTTCTTCGTAATCTGAAACCTCCTTTAGAGGAAACTGTTAGAAGATAAAAGACATAGATCTAAGAGGTGCACTGGTGTGTGATGCATCTTAATAGGGGAATATTAATTGAGTGAGCACAAGTGACTGGCAAATGCGGGGGGGGAAACTGTCTGAGCTTTTAGTGGAGTGTGAACATAAGGTGAAATCAAAGGTTCTCCCTCATTACTGGGGCCAGCCAAATTCCCGGTGGCCTGAAGCAGGAGGAGGACTGTGGTGGAAACAGGACATTGAACATTACCTGGTGAAACCTCTTTTTCTGGAGAAAGCTGGGTATTTTAATTTGATTACTTTATTGATGTGGGGGCATGGGTGGGGGGCAAAAGATAGACTTCTGTGTTCCTCAAAGACACTGACCATTTCTTAATAGATGGAAAACAACAGAACTGAATGCACAAACACCAAAAGACACCCAAGGATCAATCTGGCTGAAAACTCTGAGAGTATTCAACTCAGCTGAACTTTCTTTATGTGGCAGAGCCACCAGCCCAGCATGCTGGATTTGTTATTCAGGTGACTCCTGCTATTCCTCTTCTTCAGGGCAGCATCTCCTGCAGCCAGGGCTGCCTGTTTAGGGCTGGTACTTAGAGCAAAAGGAGACCAACAGCTGCAGCACACCTTGGTCATGACCTTCAGGGGAGCTGGAAGCAGGGGATACCCAAACAATATTGTCTGGATGCTACAGAACAAAGGCATCATGATTAAAGGAAAAAAAACACAGTGAGGGTGAGAGGGTTGTGATTTCCCCTTTCAGTGTTTATTGTCCACAGCAAACACGTAAGTCTGACAGCTGTACTATATGTTATTAGCATCACTTGGAGCTTATTAGCCAAAGCCAGTAATTCTTTTTAATAAGGATACTTCTCAAAGTTTTATGGAATACCAGGTGCCCTTCCATGAAACAGCTTTCATTTGTTTGTCCTTGATACAGAGAGTACTGGGATAGGTTTTCTTTTTACCTGTGTTCAAGCCTTACCTAGGGGGACTCAGGAGACCAGCTATAGCTCAGGCTTGGTGTGGTCTGGCCATTTGTGTGCGCTGCTGATGCCTGTCTGGTGCCTCAAGTGGACTCACATGGATGGTGGTGCAGGAGATACAGATTTGGGCTGTGCTCACATCCCACCTGCAGCTCCACTGGCCTCTAAAGGACCAGCTGGCTCCCCTGGTGTGCCTGTGGGAAGGAGTCTCCAGGGTAGAGGGGAAAGAAGGGGGATTGCAACATGAAACCTAACTTGATCGCTTAGCATTTAGCTGAGCAATATACATTTTTCATTTTTCATCCTTCTCCCTTTTGCCTGTATTCTTTGCTTGGCTGGAAGTGTTTTAAAGCTGTCTGGAGATGATACAAAGGCTCAGGAATTGTTCTGTGGGCAGATGCTTTCTCAACTGAGATGCTCAGGCAGCAAGATGACAAAATACCTTGAATGTTTCAAGCTGTTTGTTTAAGCCTTCAGTGCATGATAGCATGTTATACAAGCCCAAGCTCAGAAACACTTTTGGACCTCATTAGAGTGAGGGTAATCAGATTGTTTAAATGAAAAGCAGGACTGCAGAGGCAGAAATTTCTCATCTCTTTGGTGATAGGCATCTGGCATACAGCCCTTGGGCTGGGAGGACTCAGCTGTCCCTGTCTCCACCTTCATCTCCACCAGCTCCAGCTGCCCAGGCACACTGAAAACATCCTCCTCTCTCAGCTCTCTCCTTGAACCCAACATGTAGCTGGGCACTGCAGTACAAATCATCCCTGACTGGCCCTCTAAAATCGAAGCTCAGATGACAAATCAGCCCTACTCCTGTTTGAGCCATGGGATTGTAATTGCTAAGAATAGCAAGGGCACCGAACAAGACCCGGTCTAACCAGTTGTGTTGTCCCTGGTTTGATTCACTGTTTATTCGCTTCAATAGGAAGAAGGGGCACACCAAAATTGACAGATTGTTTCAAAAGCAGCAGAAAGATCTGCATATCCTAACCCCTTTTCCTGAACATGACTTGGGAGGCTGAGACTGGGAGGGATGAAGTCTTTGTGATCCAGCTCTGGCAGTCTCACCTATCTGGCTTTCATCTTCTCCATTTCTACATGTTTTGTTGAAGAGGAAAAAGAACAAGGCCTTGACATTCTGAACAGCTCAAGAGGGAAAGAAGGGGTAAAAATTAAGAGCTTAATCACTTTATTCTGCGGTAGCACGCACACCTCACACACTCCTGGATCCCCAGGCTGCAAGGTAGAGATTAAAGGCAAATTATCTTGTGAAGACAAGAATCTGATCCAAACTGTACAACAAACCTAAGCACAAAGAAATATGCATTCCTTTCAGTCTGGTTCAAAATGAGGTCTTTTCAGCTCCTATAGCTAGTTACTCTGCAGAGGAATACGCCTGTGTCTGCCTCGGTCAATGTGTAACTGCGACTTCGTAGGTGTGCTGGGTCTGGCTAAAGGTTGTGTATCCATCCCTGGAACTTTCTGTGCAGCTGGTGTTAAGCCGGGCTCAGGTTTCATTGGGCCCTGCCTGGCCTGAGGTAACTTCTCTGGGCCCCCAGGCTGTGATGTAAAGCAGCTTTGCGCAATGCTGCCGCAGCCCTGTGGAAAGGGCAGAATTCCACCTGCAGCCCCACTGCCCCGGGGGGAGAGGTGTCCTGAGGAGCTCCTGAGCGACAGCAGCATCGGAGGGGCAACACAGGGGAGACACCCCCCAGGACAGAGGCGAGTAAGCGCTCTTACTGGATTGGCTTTGAATGCTGCTTTTTCAACTCAGGTGCTCATGCTTTTCCAAAGGGCTCGGGGCTCTCTTCTTTAGCCAAATAAACCACGCTGACTTTCCACAGATGGGGCTTAGGGTAAGTGCTTGGCAGTGAGAACTGCTCCTCTTGCTTCTGCTCATGGGACAAAAGCTGATGGGGGGCTCTGGCAGCCAAAGAGAAGTGACCACTGGGTGCCAATGGTGCCTAATGGCACAGCCTGCCTGGGTGGCACAGGGTCACCCTCCCTGCTGTGCAGGAAACATTAAGTAATGCCTCAAAAGAATTGTATGATGGAGGGAACAGTGTGGGAAGGGCATTCCTTATAATCTGTGGCTTTTTGGTTCATTTTCCTGAGCATCCCAATGTGAAAAATGCTTTGATTAGTCTAGAAATCCACTAGCACAGTAGCTGGGCTAACTGTGAACGTGAAGTTGGGAAGGCACCTCCCAAGATAATTTTTTAACCAGTCATAAGCAATGAATATGCTCTGTCATGCATGTCACATGCTACCAGCAGGGTTGGGGAGGTGAAGTGGGGCTGGGAGCAGAGGAGACAGCAGCACGACTGTGGCGCCCATACAGTAATTTAGAGGATGAGGTGGGAGTTAATGGGGAAGAGCAATTCTTGGGTGAAGGCAGGGACAGAGATCTACAGCAGGTCCTCCCCTGCATGCCTCTGGGGAGCAAATAGTTTCAGGCCTGACCCACAGGCATTCAGGAAGACACTTGGACATCCTGAGTGACCATCACAGCAACAGAAACTCAATTTGCAAACCCAGCTGTTAGACAGGAACCTGGGAATGTAGATATCCACGTTGGCAGGCAGACTTACTTAGCAAGGTCTGTCTAGTTACCAAGCATCTGCACATCTCAGTTTTTGTATGTGCAATAGAGTGGTGATACTGCAAACTGGGATATTATTAGACATTAAATACTTGGGAATCCCTCAGGGGAAAGAATGTGGTTATACATTGTAAATTAGGCTGGGAAAGGGCCAGGTCTTGAATAGATGGATTTAAAAACAAGTGTTTCTACCCTGTGTAAAATGTTGGTGAGACAGACATTGCTGTGTGTCCTCTCAAAAGGCTCAGGCTACCAGAACTACAATACCTGACAGACTGGCGTGATTCAAAAAGCCTTGGAGAAAGAAAGCACAGCGCAGGGCTTGGGTACTGGCAAGGCTGATAGCACTTTTCCCATCCAATGAGCTCTGCAGAACTTGAAATGGGTGAAAGAGGGTGAACAAAGCTACAATAAACAAGAAATTACTAGTAGAATAAAAACACAGCTCTGAATAACAGCATCTTGGTTGATATGTGTTACAGGTGCATAATTTTCAACATGCTTCAATTTGGATTTCAAATATACAGATTAAAAGTCATGTACTAGAATCTAAGAAAGTTACAGCAGAGCTATTAGTTATCAAAAAGTTTGATATAGGAAAAGAGAGAATTCTAAAAATACAGTATTTGTCAGTGGGTACAATTTTTCAGTGTGTGTGTGTGTATGTGTCCACGACATTCTCATTCCCTATATGCATTACATACTCTGTGCTAAAACACTAGTGACATCCACATACAGTAAAATTCACTGCTTCTTGTCAGGAAAAACAAGAGCAGCAAGCGGTCTTTTACCTCAGGAGAGGACTGCCTGCACAGCTGAGTAACACTCAGCCTACCCCTTCTAATTCTGTATTCAGAGATAGAAGGTGCAATGAAAATGGTTTTGGTGTGAGCACATTTGTATAAGGGAGCCCGGAGTATGTTTGCCTAGAAGCTAGAATGAATGTTTGCACTGGGCTATGAAAACATAACATGCTCTGCTAGTGCCAAGTATTTTGCTGACTAGACATACAAAGCAGGACATTTCTGCATCTGGACCTTTAGAGAACTGGTTTCCAAACCCACTTCCTGTGTAACAGCAGGCACGCTGCTTAGCCCGTCCGTGTGTCTGCAAGGCTCGGTGCAGCAGTTTGCAGAGATGGCTCTGACCAGGTTCCAGGAACAAATGTTGCATTTGCTGCAAAACAAGGTTTCACAGAAGTGGCATGGTCTAGTTAGTAGGCATAACCAGCATCTGCAACCATTCCCATGCTAAATCCTTAGGGCACTGCAGCGGGTAATGGAGTCACATCTGTGCTTACCATCTCCCACCTGCTGCCATTGAAACTGGTGTCTGTCTCATCCTGGGCTTTCTGGGGGCAGAGTCAGACCAAACACCACTAAATACTGAAATTTTCTGAATACCTTTGTAACTCCAGCAGCACTAGCACCTCACCCTGTGATTAAGAGAAACAGACTTGAAACAGACTGACCTTTCCTCCTCTTTTTTTCTTTCAGAAGACATCGTGGAGGCAATTTTCCAACATGAATCTGGTGGCAGGTCTTCTCTGCTTGCTGGCTTGCCTTACTGTGGTGACTTGTGACCGGGTCTACGTCCACCCTTTCAATTTGTTTTCTTTCAATCAAAGTGATTGTGACAAGCTGGAAAAATTGGTTCAGGAGGGAAAGACTATTGTCCCTGTCTCCATTGAGTCTCAAACCACACCTGAATATGAAGGTGACGTGAATGACAAGAACGAATTGGAAGCCCCAAGCCTCAACACCTGGGGGAAAGAGGAACGAGGCTACCTGAGTGGCTTGGTGTACGTCCCGGGCATGCGGTTTTACAATGTGCTGCAGAAAGCACGGACGGGCCAAAATGTGCTCCTGTCCCCAAGCAGCCTCTACAGCTCCTTGGTGTCATTCTACCTGGGTGCCTCAAACCAGACAGCACTTGATTTGCAGGGATTGCTGGGATTTGTTCCCCCCTCTGGAAACCCTGACTGCACTTCCACGGCAGTCGGAAGCAATTTCCTTTCCAGCCTGAGGACGATCGAAAGGCTTGTGAAGAGTGGGGACGAGGAGCTGCTCTTTTCCAAGACACTGAGCCTGTTCTCTGCCCCTGGCATACCCCTCTCCCAGCTGTTCATAGAGCACTTGCTCCCCAGTGCTGATGCATTCTACGCCCGAGCTGTTGACTTGACAAACCCAGGCGAGGCAGCAAAACAAATAAATGCCTTTGTGGAGACCAAAAGTGAGGGCCAGAGCAAGTGCTTACTGGCAGACATCGACCCATCCTCAGAGCTGCTGTTTGCGGTGGACGTCCGCTTGGCAGGTACGAGGCAGCGCTGCTCACTTTGGGAACAGGCCTGGGGAAGGATGGGCAGTAACCCTGCTCCTGGGAAGGAAGCAAGGTCATGCCTGGCCAGTGGGGAAAGGGAAGGGCTCAGATGAAAGGCTGGACCTCTGCTCCCCACAATTGTGCCAGGGATCCTGCCTGCACTCTGCCACGAGCCAGCAAGTGCAATGGGGAGTGAGGAGGGGGGAGATGGCCTCCAAGAGATTTTCCTCATCCAGGAAACTAAGGATTAGGAAAGGTGTGGAAAGGTGCATGAGAAAGAACTGTGCAGCATTTCTGCCTGCAGAGGAACTAAAAGTCATGAGTGGCCTCCAGCAAGATTGATCAGGGTGTAGCTTTAAAGAAGGCCAAAGGAGCTGGGGGTAGCAGGCCAAAGGTACAGATACATAAAAGACTAAAAAATACGGTGGACAAGACTCCTCTAGTGGCTATTAAACACAGAAGTCAGGAGGCAACATCTGGCTCAGGAAGCAACCAAACATCATCAGTTATGGAAGCAGGGCAGCTTTTAAACAAACCTAGAATAAAGCAATCCCCTTCATTGCCTAGGGTCATTCCATGCTGCTGTCCCAGAAATCCCCCTGCACTTAAACTGAGCCTTCTCTTCTGAGTGTAGCTGCTTTCCTAGATCCTCGTGACTGAATTCAACACCAAAGACTACACACTTCAGACAGCTTGCCTACCTGGGACTGCATTTCAAAAAACTTGCAGTGAGCCCTAAGTTCCTGAGTGGGCTTCTATTGCTAAAGGTGGAGTTGTGGTGCCCAGGACGCCTTTTTGTGCCTCCATCCTCTCACCTCAAAACTGGATGTCAGGTTTTCTTTGCCTTTCATGGGTGCTGTCATTCTCTCAGCAAGCTGTGGGCATCAGCTTTCATTTGTCATTTTAAGATCTAGCATAGATATGATACTACAAAAGTAACTGGGTCACAGACTTGGGCACAGTCACAAAAGCTGAGTTTCCTTTAGTGGAACCATTTTTTCCTCTTCCTCTGTATTGGAAACTTGTAATTTGTATAAGCTTAGAAACACATGTTCAAGGGTCTGCCTCACTGGCTCAGCTCTACCACCTTCTCTCTCCAAAGATGCATTTGAAATGTTGCAGTCCCCACAGGTGGAATGGACAAAACTGGCTCAAGAACAAATGAATTACACAAGCAATTATCTTCTAATAAACATAGAAGATAACTTTAGCATTTGGTTTGCCATTTGGTTGTGAAAGGGCATCCATGACAGCTGATGCTATCATGCTCCATGTCTGTCCCTATAGCTACAGAAAGGAAAAAACCCCTTTATTTTCCTCTCTGAAACATGTTATATAAGCTCTGAGATGCTATCAACAGCCATAGCATCGATAAAGTGACAGAAATCCATGCAAAACATCAGCTAAATGTTCCAGTGGTCTCAAGTGTTGTTCACTTGCACACAGTTTTCTTCACATTTGTAGACTTGCTGCCAAGCAGGGCCTGCCATTTAGAATTCAATGCAGAACATCAGGTGCAAGCTTCACTGAGGGCAGTAGTTTCTTCAGTGCTGAACAGGATTATCTGCCCAGCTGGGCGGCAGCATTGATCTGTGGCAGTGAAAAGATAACGTGTTGAAATGCAGAGCTGCACAGAAGTAGCGTAAAGGTGAGAACAAGGCCTCTTATAAAATTGTGAACTGGGAAAGAAATTTATTTTAAGGTCTAGTTAAGTGTTCAGCTATGTCTTTTTTAACCTCCTTGGCTCAACCAACACTTCAGTGTTGTCCTTACAACCTTCCCCATTGCTTTGGTTTGTAAGATGGTGAAAGGTGAGACCTCAGGCAGAGCTTTTGCTGCCTTGCCTCTCCTGAGCCCACCCAGCTGCCTGAGAGTGCTCCTGCAGCAAGGGCTGGCCCTGATGGATGTGCTTCCAAACATGCCATCACTGCACTTGAGAGACAGAAAGGAAACCAATACAGCAGTCACAGTCCTGATGGCCATGGTCCCTGTGCTGTGCGCTTTATGGCACCAGAATGCAGATTAAAAGGGGGAGACGTATGATTAAAGTAGCTAAATGTGATTTTATACACACAGTCCTTCTCTAAGGCACAGTGCATTCTTAAAAGACCAGCTATGGGGCAGAGGGGAGGAGGGAAGAACGAGAAGAATCAATTTCTCCTCTCTTGATTTGTTTTTCAGTGAATGTTAAGCAAGCCTTCCCACTCAAAGAGCCTCAGGAGTTCTGGGTGGATTCAAACACAAAGGTCCTGGTCCCTATGTTGTCTGTCACGGGGACACTCAAGTACAAAACTGATGCCAGTGGGACTTTTTCCCTGGTGGAAGTCCCCATCAGCAAGACGGCGCTGCTGGTGCTGCTGCAGCCCATCAATGGCAGTGACCTGGAGCACGTGGAGTCCGAGCTGATGTCGCAATCCTCAGCTTGGCTCCAGAGGCTGTCCCCAAGGTAGGGAAGGGGCATGTGCATCCTCTCATAGTAGGGATGGATGGGATGAGCCACACAGGCCTGCCCCCTCACCTGGGGCTGGATCCTGCCAGGGGGGCTTTACTACGGAGCACAAAGAGAAACCCCTGCACAGCCAAGGGAGCTCGTTTCAAAGGAGCTCCACTTCGGTGGGACCAGCTTTTTATCTGGGGGCATTTCAAGGAAACAACAAAGCCCCTTTGCATCCCACACACAAAGTGGGATAATCTGGGGTTTAGCCTGGGTGAAGTCTGCGTGAGTTCACACTTGGAAACAGTAACAGGCACCCACTGCCTTTGTGCCCATACACCAAGCACTTGTTGCAGCTGTTCTCACATTCCCCAGGACTGCCCAACCACGATGCTTTCACAGTGAACACTCACTTGCCTCTCTCTCCCTCTCTCTGCAGAGACATCAAATTAACGCTGCCAGCATTAACACTAGAAGACAGCTCTGATCTACAGCAGCTTCTTGCAGATATGGAACTGCCTACACTGCTGGGGAAGGGGGCAGATTTCAGTAAGATAAGCAACGCCAGTCTAACAGTTGGAAAGGTACAGTATATATCACTGGCATTAAAAAAGATTACCTTTCTGCACAATTTCAGCCTCCTAAACTGAATAAATTTACCTACAAAAAAGCAGTCAGAGCCATGTAGGGGACATGCTTAGTAGGGGACTGAGTATCACATGCAAGGTATGTTTTGGATTAAGTAGGAGAATAATGCTGATAACACAAGAGTTTTAGTTGTTGGCAAGTGGTGGGAGGAAGGAGTGAGCAGCTGTGTGGTACCCAGCTGCTGGCTGGGGTTAAACCATGGCACAAGGGTAACAGGATTACAGATCATCCCAGCGCAAAAACAGTTACAGAGCTTTTGCACGTTATGGACAAGTATCCAACATCTTCTTAAAACATCTATGGAGTACAATGTGCTTTATCATTTACTCAGACTCTCCTTTGTCCCACCACAATCATGCTCTGATGACTCCAGAGTTACGTTTTTTTCTTGCAGGTAATAAATAAAGCCTTTTTCAAGCTGGCCAGTGATGGAACAGATCAGGCAGAAGACCCTGCAGCACAAAAGGAAGATGGGGCATACCTGGATGTAACACTGAATAAGCCATTCCTTTTTGCTGTTTTTGAAAAGCAGTCAAGGGTGATGCTTTTTCTTGGCAGAGTAGTAAACCCTCTGCATGAGGATTAAATGCAAACACAGAGGATAAGAAAGGAGTGGAATGATGCACATTTCCTGTCACCTTTTTCTTATTCATCAGATATTTTTGTTGAGTGCTCTACTTAGCTTTGAGATGAAGCAGTTAGTGTTTGAAATATAGCTTTTTGAAAGCTAACACCTTGCAACATTTCATCCTTGTTCATCTATTTCATGTGAGGTGACTCACATCCTTCCTCCAGCTTCCATTTTATTCTCTGTCTCTCTTTTGCTCCTAGTTCCCTTTCTGGATGCAGTGGGGCAGAGCATGGTTTTGATGCAAGGAAACTTGAAAAAATAGATAAGCAGCTTCTACTATACTCTTTTTATTTACTATAGAAAAGAACCACTTCGTTCTTTAAAAAGCTTTTTAACTGTATGGTCAGTTTTTCAAGAGAGACTCCCTTTTACATAACAGTGAAGATTTTACAATTACCCACTAAGATTTCTAGCTTCATCAGCAACATTTCCCTTTAAAAAGCTGCCAACAGCACAGGCAGGTTCCACTTGTCCCACTGAGACAAGATTTTTTGCCTTGGAAGCAAAAACATGCTTAGGGGAAGTTTCTTCTTTCTGCAGCCCAGATGGATATGTTCACTTCTTAACTCTATGGAAATGCTAAAAATAGGGTTCATCACATTAATGAAGTGTGATGGATAAATCCTCAGAGTCTGACAAAATTATCTCTTATGTTTTTTAGGAAAAAAAATCCCACAAGGTCTACTATTCCAATATAATTCCATTTCTTGGATTACTTTATAACCTGTGAGGCATTCCTTACAGCAAAGATGGACATTACTGGTTAGAGTCCAATTCTGTAAATTTTAACATATTCAAACCATATGTTCTTTAAAAATAGCATTAATGGCAGTAATATACATTAGTATAAATAGTGGATGTGGTGCAGCTACTTGTGAATAAAATGATTACAGCAGTCCAGTCCAACTCTTAACAGAGTCATAAAAATTTCAAGCATTAAAGTGGAACAATTGATTATTAGATGACTCTTGAATTACGAAGTGAGGAACTGGGAGACAGACCTTGGTACTGAGGAAAGCCTGGAACAAGGATTTCCACCTCTCATCTAGATTTATTGTTAGGACTGATGGCACTTAAAAATAACTGCAAACCACTTTGGCGAGATGTATCCCGCAGTGCGCAGCAGCTCATTATCATCTGCAGTGGCCCAAATGTGTATCTAATCTAAATGCACTAATGCCAGCAGCTTGCTGTCAGTGATGTAGACACGTCCTTGTGGCTTAATGGAAAATGCCGTAACGTTATAAATAAAATAACCCTCAGAACACTAGGAAACAGCATCCATGTATTTATCCATTTATACTCTATGTACTCCAGATGTGCTAACATCTAAATACTGTACTTGTATTAGACACAGAAGTAATTAAGTATGAACATGCAGAAGAAGAAAGATGCAAATAAACTCACTTCCAAGTTTCTTTGGCACAGCTCAGTTGGGCTTTTGTCCATATAAATAAGTTCTGGATTCAAAATCTGCTCCAAATCAGATTTATGTTTTTAAGACAGTAAGTTGCATATTACCAAGCACTACAGCCAGTGGTATAGCTCTAAGCATGGAAGAGGCAGCTGCATACTATTTTAAATGTTATCCCATTTACTTGTTGAAGTCAGAAGGTAGCATCACCTACAAATAAAATTTCAGACCATGCAATGTCCCGTTTTTATGAAGAAGGTGGAAAATAACAAGAGGGAGCCCTTGGATACACTGATGGAAAGTTCAGGGGAAAATCCCTTTATATTCACAGGTGGGAGCTGCATGCTCTGGAATTCCATATCACTGTTCAGTGGTTACAGGCAGAAAAACAAAACAAGTCAGTCAACACACTTTTCAGACTAGAAGTTTTGTGTGGAGAGCACCTCTCCACTGACACCCTGGAGAAGAAAAGGAAGAAGGAAAGGGCAGAGACAGGGAACTAAAAGTAAACTGACCAGAATAAGGACTGCTGAGAGAGATGTACTGGAGCAAACGCTACAATACCAACAAGATAAGCTATCTGTACAGGTACCCATTCTCCTATATCATCAAATGATAAAAAACAACCAACTAACCAAAAAAAAAACCCCTCGTCCAATTCCCAACTAAGTCTCTGCTTCCAAAACAATGTGCACTGCCCTGAGACTTGTTTCTGACATCAATTTTATAAGTAAATTTTTTTATGGCATTTTGCACTCTTCACTCTCCTCTAATTTCACCAAATTCCTCTATCAGGCACACCACAATGCAAATTCCAAGCATCCTGGACATCACTCACATACTGAGATCCCAAATGCAATCTACAGCCTAATAATCCAGTGAAAGAAGCACCTAAACTCAGCCTCTAAAAAGGTGGGAGATTTGGAGAAAGAGAACAAAGGCAAGGATGAGCTTTTTAGGTTTCAACAAACAGCACAGTTTATCCCTGAGCATAGCTGACAATTCACTGACAGCTTAAAAAACAAAACAATTTGTAAGAAATCTATGCCGTTTGCTTCCTCATCCCTCCAGTTCAACCTTGAAAATACAATGGTTGATGGAAAAAGGAGAGTAAATATTCCTTGAGTGGTCCAGCCAAATATACATACTGGTAGTTATCTTTAGATGATGAGGTTAGAACAGTCTGGTCCACTTCTGGTATAACCTACCATGTTGAGAACCCAGTTACCCTTTTAGAGGAAGACATGCCATTGCTCTTTCTCTCCTCAGTATTGCACAAAACCTCTTCCAGCTAAATTCCTTCCAAGATTACAAAGGCATAGCAAGTTTTCTAAAGTTCCTAGAATGGAAGAAGAAAAAGGCATAAAATCAAAACTGCATTACTGTCATGAACTGCACATCAAAAATTACCTAATGAATAGAAGAAATAGGATTAGCAGCAGAAGACATCTCCATCAGAGCACACTTACATTGTATATCCTCTCCTCACTGATCCACAGTGTTTGAAAATGCTAAAATTTTGGTTACCAAAGGCAAAATTAGTTCACACCTTTTTTCAACAGGGGGTATCACACAAACTTCTTATTTATAAGCAATAAGAGTTATATCCACTCAGTAGTGTGTGCCTAAGGCTGAGGGTTTCCACGTGCCTGAAGGAGACAAACAAATGTGTCATCTGACAAGTTGGTTTATTTTGCTGTTTCTTTTTCCACCAATAAATTTGGATGCTCCCTCAATTGTATATGTGCCATGAACAGTGAGAAGCTAAGCAAATTAGAAAAGCCAAATCCTGCTCTCCATTACTCAAGATTGAATCCAAAGACCACCACGTACTTCTAAGCAGCAGGACTTTCCTCACTGCCACCCTTCAAAAAATTAGTATTAGAAAAGTCGTAACAGCCACTTTTCCTAATTGCTTCAAAAGCACTATGACCACATGGCTGTGTCTTCTCAACTAAAATAGCATCAGTTTCCAACAGTGAGGAATGAAAGCCCTCAAGCTGTGAAACGTTTGCTCACTACAGCTTCAATTCACACAACAGCTACGAACTTCGTATTTCTAAGCACTTGGAAAATTTGCATGATCTGGGCATTAAGCCCCAAGATCTCTAAATACTTTAGGAAGCAATAGGTATTTTTAATTAATAAACGGGAACTAGAATTCCAGTGTTAAATTTTCACAAGGTTAAAAAAAAAAAAAAAAAAGTAAAAAAAAATTCAGTACAACAAAACACAAACAGAACCAGGGCATTCTCTGACTTTAAAGCCTTAAATTCACCTCCTACTGTGCCTAGACTATGTTGCCTGTCCTTCACATATGAAAGAGAAGCATCAGTAGGGAAATCACTCTAGGTTCAAGAAAGATCTTTGTTAATCCTTCTACCATTTTAAACACTAGTAACACTTTCAAATTTCCTTCTAGATAAAGATGTACCTTGCACTGATCTAACTAGGTCTGAAGTTACAAAAATTCTACATGTATGCAGGTGAATTCTAATAGATAATGTAATACAAATCAGAAATATGCTAGGCCTGAATAAATTCTACTTAGTGAATTAAGTATTAATTTGAAGGAAAACAGTCTGAATGCAATAACCTCTAAGACACTTGCAGTAGAAATTATTTAAAAAAATTTGAAGTACTTTATGAGCTTTTGTCACACAGCCCTTCACACCAACCTGGTCTGTGAAAAAAAACAACACATCAGTTAAATGAAGACATTAAAAACCCAAACAGGAGCTAACCATATCCCATGATGAGGGAGGGGAAGTAAGTGCAAAACAGTAACAAGAAATAGCAGAATCCTGCTCCTGCAAGTACTTTATCCCAGGAGACCTGGAATAACATCTGGAAATTTTTGACACCCTGTAGAGTTAAAGCACACAGCTGCCTGTCTCAAACACTGTCAAGGCCACAGACAGAACTTGCCATAAGATAAGCAACCACAACAGGAGCTAGAGATAAACACAGAAGGAAGGAACTTGTGACAGGAAGGTGCTGATTCCAGACCTGCCAAAGGTGACATCTGGTTAATGCATCCAGACAAATTCTCTGGCAAACTCTGGGAGAGAAAGAAAGTGCTCATACTCATATCACTGCTCAAAATCACCCTAAGTTATGGGCAGATGGAGCCTGTGACCAACAACCCCAATGTGCCCCAGATGAATTTCTAGGGCCTCCCACCAGAAGTGATCCACAGTGTTAACATCAGACAATGTAGAACTCCTGCCCAGGGGATGCACCAGGGCACTCCCACCTGACCTAAACATGTATGAAGCCATTGAACTCTTTGTTTCTTGGGCTTCCCACACCCCTGATGCATCAAGACCGTGACCATCACTTTGACTAACAAACATCTAAAATGGCAACAATCAAGTTGCTGAATCTGTGGGTGGTGTTATCTTTCATCTCTACTATGTACTGACATACTTTCTTTCTTTTCCCCATATATTTTCCTAAGTGGTACTTTTATACTTTCATATTGTTCTACTTCTATAGACAATAACCAAAACAGCTACATACCCTTCTTCCATTGCAACCAAACTGCTCTAAAATAAACCTGAAATATACATATAGATATAGCTCTCTCTCTATATATATATAGATACATACATAAACTCTGGTCACTCAGTGTCGTTTCACTCTAAGCAAGGGTTTTGCTAACAAGAACCTCACTTTGCCTCTGGAGCAGGTTGTACACAGCCATCAATCAATACATTTTATTCAAAAACATATCTGGACATCAAAAGTTAGGAAGACAATTTATTACATATTACTTTCAACATAGAACTTTGTTCTTGTACATTTCAAGTTGTACAACAAAAATAAGAAAAACATCTTATTCTACTTCTATTCTATAGTAGAAAGTTTAGAACTTTGATTGCTTTCCATATAATGGATAACTGATAAATGCTCAGTCTTTTGGTGAAGCAAATTTATCAAGGCAGAAGATACACTGATTTGCTGCTCAAGATACTTTAGGAAGCACTTCATTGCTATTTATTTGGTAAAACAAAGAAGAGTTAAATTCTCTTTCTTTCAGGAACATCGTTCATCTTCAGTCACATGCTTTCAAAAATATCTAGGATGGTTCCATTGTAGCCTGATCCTTGGCAGTCAGAACCAGCTCTGCAAGGGCTGAAAAGCTTTTTATGCTGCTTGTTTCCAGTCCCATCTTTCGTATCTAAAAAGATACAGAAAACCCATTAATTTTCTTTAAAACATTAAAAACCCACCAATTATTTTATTTAAAACATTTAGTGAAGCCTATGTTTTGTCCTGCACTCACATGTGGCAAAAAGCACAACTGCATATACTGCAAACTATAAAAAATTTGCATCCAACTTTGCCCAGTTAAGTCTCTCCAGTTACAGAAGTGTCTTTCAGGGAATTATTTCACCATCTTCTAGGCAACTTGTAACTAAAGCCAGCTGGAAGTTTTCCAGTGAAGCAATCAGAAAGAGAAACTTTGCTGTAGTTGGTTTTAATTCATTGATTTCAACTGATTCTTTTTTTTTCCAACTCCAAATGAAGTTTCTGGGCAATACTTAAAAGATAAACGTGAATACATCCAAGAAGAGCCAACAGCATGACAGTGAAAGCATTTCAATAGGCTGCAAGAGCCTATGGTTCTAGCCTTGAACTTCCTGGGAAACAAAAACAACTCTACAATTACAGAGGTTGCTGCAAGTAATTTCTTAGCCAGGAAATCTATTGCTCTGACAATAAGAAAAATACAGCCATGAAAAAACTAAGAGTGCAGTGAAGCAGAAAAATCTGGATCTAACTAAAACCATAATGAAGTGATTCTGAAAAGGTGTTTGCTGCTGGAACTCTTTGTAATAGTCACATGTACCAAAACATTTCCCAAATGATTATGAATAATCTGTCCCAGTTCAGCTTAAATTCACACTGCAGTGATGGAGAAGAACAACAAAAGATCAACCCCAGGCAAAAACTGACAATAGGTTTTTTTTAGTGAGATTTCCACAGTTCCACCCAATTGTGATTACTCTCATATTTAAGAAAAGCATCTGGTCACACACAAGCCTACTTAATCTACCTGCTACAATGCATCAACAGCATCTGCTTATAAACAAAGTCAATGACAACTCCTTGGAAACTAATGATGTGGACTCCTAGTTCAAAGTTTGTTTATACTTAAATATGATTTTTAGAAATAAAGGTGTACAAAATGGTTATGTTTATACAATTTAATGTGACTACTGCATACA